GCGTGTGATATTTAGCGCTTTCCAAAGAACCAACCAGTGCGGATTTTGTCATTTTCGTATGTGGTCGTAGGAAAAATATTGTACCTAACTCTTGCGGAAAATGTCTTTTCCACCCTCGACGGCTTGCCCGAACTCCGCTCCGCGTCGTTCGTGCAACGGTGCAACTGCCGTCTCGTGCGGAAAAGTACCACTTTCCGCACTTGTTAGGTAAATAGCTATTACGTGTCATAATCTTGTGCAATTGATACTCGGTCATCTCCAAAGGGGGAAAAATACAGAGAAAACAACCCGAAGCTACTGAGTGTCGAAAACAAGCTATAGAGCGCATAGAAAAGAAGAATTCAATACAAGATCAAAAAGGGGTAAAAAATGAAGTGAACGTCAAAGGAAGTATCATGATCAGAGACAATAGAAAAACCAACCACGCCAGCAGCACAGAAGTGAAGATACAAAAATAATTAGAAAAATTGGTTTACAGATGTAGAAATTTAGACAACAGAAAACAGTTTGTATCAATAAATAACAAAAACTCAAATATTGAAGAAATCACCTGCGGAGTCCCTCAGAGGTTAGCGCTCGGACCCATACTGTTTTTGATTTACATAAATAATCTCAGTGTGGATTCGGGTTCTGACACTATACTCTTTGCGGATGACACCATAATTCTTGTTATTGATGCAGATGTTGAAAATCTAAATGAAAAAATCAATAGCGCTAAATTGTCGGCATCAAGGTGGTTTAGTAACAATGGTTTGACTTTAAACAAATGAAACCAAAACCATAATGCTTCATGCTTCAGTTACAGAAAATCCTGCCAATAACAGAGGAAAGTTCAAAATTTCTAGGCTTTTACGTGAATCCCATATTATCATGGAAGCATCATGTGGACTTTCTGGCTGCAAAATTATCGAAAAACATTTTTATTATAAGATCATTAAGGGATGAGTTACCAAGAAAATCAATCTTGACAGCTTACCATTCAATTCTTTCACACTACGGATATGGAATCCTTGCATGGGGCCATTCCCCTCATGCAGATCCAATTTTCAAATTGCAGCGGAGGGTTCTGCGTATAAGGTTCAGAATGGGTTTTAGGGACAATGTTGCGGAAGTGTTTGTAGCAAATAAACTATTTACTCTCCCTTCCATAAGGAGATTTATAAAAATCTATATATGTCTTAAGTACGTCAGAGAAAACCTTGGCACTTATACACGTAACAATGAAATCCATGATTATAACACCAGTAGACAGAGCTCACATATAAACTTTCGAAGATTTCGTTTAAGTCATGGCCGATACGGGGTGAATTACTATGGACCTCTATTTTATAATGCACTGCCTAGGAATGTGCAAACATTAAATGACAAGACCTTTTTAAAAACCATAAAAAATCACTTACATAGGTATGCATTTTACAATTTCACTGACTTTCTGCATTCTGAAATTTCATAGGGGGGTGATTAAGGCGGCAGAGCTTATTTCTGTTTCTATACTGTTATTTCTGTTTCTATACTGTGATATTTTTGTAGAAGATTGTTATATTCATGTAAGAGTTATCATTTGTTTATGCTCCTTGGAAATGTTCATCTTAAATTTTAAACAAGAGAATCTTAAATTTTAATTTTAATATTAGTATAATTAAGTGATTTAAAAAATTAATTGCTGTGATGTCTGTTCTTAGAAATAACTAATCAAAAACTGTCTTTTTTCCTGTTGACGTGTGGAAACAATAATTATGTATTGTGAAGCATAAAAATAAATATGAATTGAATTTGAATTGGAAGAGATATCCTTCTCTCTAGTAGGATATTGAATTGTTGATGTAGTTTCATTCAAATGTTCGCGCCATGAATTATATAGAGGAATTAGGAATACCATTGCAGTCGTATGTGTATTCTTTGGTAGCGGCTTCGACACGGACGACAGTCTGGATTGTAATTTGCACGGGAAATGTGCTCCGTCCTAACCGAGGTCCTAACTGTAAAATTAATACTGAATAAACTTAATAGTTATGTCTAAAAAGTGTTATATTGACAAGATACATGAACTATTATAACAAGATACATCAACTATAACTTAGTACAGCTTCGAGCTTCGTACACTGCATTTGTACGTTATTATTGTTGGTATAAGGGATATCTTTGTCGAATAGTGCTAACTTCACTTCAAATAATAAGGCATTCACAGCGGTCATAAATTTGAATTTCGTGTGAGTATATTTTCTCAAAAATTAAATTCAACGTGCGACGCGGAAGTTAGAGACTGTCTTGCGTTGCAATGCCCAGTGAGAATAGTCATTGATTTCTTACGAATCAATAACTTCTAGACATACCCCGAAAAAACAACACTCAGGAGTTCAGGACCACGTTAAAAGAAAAATAACTAAAACCCTTTGATTCAATTCCAATTTTATAAAATAAATTCATATAACAATATTCAATATATCAAATCGTCCGTTTAGAGCCCTAATTTTTTCGGCTTTGTAATGGAAGAGCGCTGCACAAAAGAGCGCTGTAATGAAACAGTGCTGTAATAAAACAGCGCTGTAACAAAAGAGCGCTGTAACAAAAGCGCGTTGCACAAAAGAGCGCTGTAAGATAAGAGCGCTGTAACAAAAGAGTGCTGTAACAAAACAAAAATTCGCCAAAAACGTGAAAAACCCTTTTGTAAATATAACAACTTCAAAATTAAATTTTTTTTTTCTTGGATTGCTCGCTCCGCTCGCCACATCTCAAAGAGAAGAACCTCGGAAACGTGAATTCCCCATAAACGTAAAAGTAAAAAACCATTTTTTACATAATGGCATCTTTTTGGAATTTAATAGTACATTAAAATACAAGTTTCATAAGACGTGATTTTATCGCACGAGCCCTATATTAGAAAACGAGCCGGAGGCGAGTTTTCTAAAGGGCGAATGCGATAAAATGTCTTATGAAACGAATATTTTATACTATTTTTTCTATTTTGGTATTGTTTAATTAAAAAAAAAAAAAATTCTTGGAAATTTTATTCTCATATTTCCTGATTTCATAGTTTAGGTTGGTCACACTACATGCCAAATATAGAAATCTTCTATTATAAAATCGTGAATGACAGTTCGATGGCCATCAGTCCGCCAGTGTTACCAACCTCCGATAAGTAAAAAAGGAGTGTCACAAAGAGCTTCTTTTCGAAACTACTTTTAGTGTCGAAAAGACTTCGATATGACACCAAAATAGAAAAAATATGTTTAAGTTCACGATTTCATTAAATAGCTCAAACAGAAAATAAATACAAAATAACTCAATCTAATCCAAACTGATCCTTCCTCGGAATGTGACCCAATCTCTGTTCCTGAACTTCATCAAATTTCTCAAAAAGAAAATGAATACAAAATAACCCAAACTGACACGTCCTCGGAATGCGACCCAATCTCTATTTCTGAACTTCATCAAATTGCTCAAACAGAAAATTAATACAAAATAACCCAATCTTACCCAAACTGACCCGCCCTCGGAATGCGACCTAATCTCTGTTCCTGAACTTCATCAAATTTCTCAAACAGAAAATTATTACAAAATAACCCAAACTGACATTCATCCTCAATATGCGACCTAATCTCTGCCTTTTTTACTTAATTCACCTTTTTGAAATTCAGACATCGCTCTTTTGTTACAGCGCTCTTTTGTGCAGCGCTCTTTTGTGCAGCGCTCTTTTGTTACAACGCTATTTTGTTACAGCGCTCTTTTGTCCAGCGCTCTTTTGTTACAGCGCCTTTTCGTTACAGCGCCCTTTTGTGCAGCGCTCTTTTGTTACAGCGCTCTTTTGTGCAACGCTGTTTTGTTACAGCGCTGTTTTTTTACAGCGCTCTTTTGTGCAGCGCTCTTTTGTTACAACGCTATTTTGTTACAGCGCTCTTTTGTCCAGCGCTCTTTTGTTACAGCGCCTTTTTGTTACAGCGCCCTTTTTTGCAGCGCTCTTTTGTTACAGCGCTCTTTTGTGCAACGCTGTTTTGTTACAGCGCTGTTTTGTTACAGCGCTCTTTTGTGCAGCGCTCTTTTGCGCAGCGCTCCTTTTTTACAGCGCTCTTTCGTTCCAGCGCCAATTTTTTCATATCGAAAATAACGTAATTTCAACCTAGGGTGCCTTTTCATGGTGGTGACGCTAGACGCTAGTTTCTGACGTTTTTGGTGGTCACGTGAATGAAACATTGGAATGTGAAGCGTGTTGCAATAAATCTCCAATAGGTTAAGCTTTAACGTGAGTAACAAATCCTAATTTCAATAACCAATAAAAAGCATAATATTGTCACGGATTCCAGGTTCACTTAAAACTGACTTCACAGATAGTAACAACGTTTATTAAACTAATTGACTTCATAAAAAATTAACTTATATGACTTATCGAAACATACACGACAAATATCGAATTTAAACTGAATTAAATCAGGAATAATTTATATAGTCGAAATTGCACTCGAGATTTAGCTAGAAAAACATGGAATCGAATAGAATAGAATCCCAGGAAAAAGCGAGCTGCCCGACGTAAACAAGTGACTAGTTCAATTTCTTGGAATCCCGGCTTCGCGATGTCGATGCATTTTCGTAATAATATTGACAGCAGCTTCTAGTGAAACCGCTACCAATTTGACGCTGCTCCCCTTTCTAAAAACGCAGCGTTTAAATCACGTCACGTGACAACCAAAAAAGCTAGAAACAAGCATCTAGCGTCACTATGAAAAGACCGCTTGTTAATAAAAAACTGATTATTGTTCAGTTAAAACTGCTAAAGAATTGTTGTGGAGAGTTTCTTGCGAAATCCCTTCGCTAGCTCAAAGATTCTGTGCTCAAAGGTTGTTCTCAGGCTCGGACTGAAGTCTGCGGGTGTTATGCAGACGAATCCGGAGGGACGCTGGGTGCAAGTTGGTGATGAAGAATCCCGCGAAGGACAAGTTGCGCGAAGGCCGAAGCTACGGCGCAATGGAACACAACCGGCAAAAGCTGCGATGCGATAGTACGCTGCCGACCGTGATCGAGCGCGTCAAGAACCGAGCTTTCGAATACGGACTCAAGCTCTTTGCTTTAATCCGGAACTCGATGGAAATTACGCGATGGCTAACTTTACGCGCTATGTAGATCCGATTTACGACATACGCAAGTTGCTACTTTTTGATGGAGTCTTGTAAATCTTAGATGATATAGTCAAAATAAACTTAATTTAGATAAATTTGTTAAATTAATATAATATGTATCTAAATGTTTTACTGTTAAATAATTAGAGAAAAGTCATAGCTTCATATCGGTGTTAAATAATATTTAAGAACTTGCAATAAAAACGTCCATTAGAACACAGTTTTGCAAATAAAAAACTATTGGGTGAGCTGAAATAAGTACTCGACCTAACTTTTCTTGGTGGTGATAATACAAGTGTAATTATTAATAGTGAGTGTGTGATAATTCAAATGATGAAGGATTAACTTATGAAAATGCTGCTGATAATGTGGTTGCTCAATGCAGTCTTGATTTTTTTTACAACTTCTGTTTATGGTTACAATGGGATTCACGGCATCGAAGAGGGTGGAATCCAAAGCAACGAACTCGACAAACCAAGTAAGTTATTAATAATGACAATTAATAAAATATAGGTACATTTTGGCATATTAATATTTATAGCCACCGGTTTCTGAGACCAACCTGAACGACAAGACATAGAAGTTTTTTTAACCAAATCCGTTCTATAATACATACCTATACACCATGCCTTGTTCAGGTTCTATATTGATTATATTACGTTTAACTCATGATTTACATAAAAACAGTTAAGCTCTTACGGAATCCTATTTTCTTTTTGGATGTAATCCATTTGGTTTCAAAAAGATTTGGAATAAATTGTCGTTAAATTAGATGCAACCAAACGTTGTACCTACCTAATATTATTTAGTGGGTAATTTTCAAAAATAGTCATTCGCGCAATATGATGCCACAGTCCTTGCTTCATCTCAATCTTACTTAAGCTTATGTGCTTCAGATAAGACTAGAAAATTTAGAAATATATATTGAGAATCTAATTTGTAATAATGCAACGGAAATAGGTTGCTGTTTTGAGCTTTATTATGATGGAGAATTTCATACATCTGTCAAAACTGGTATTCCAACAATAAATTGACATGTTTTGATTGTTGACTTGAACCAATCAGATTGTAATTACGCGATAATTTGCACTAGTGCAAATTATCAGATAATTGCATACTAACTGGTGCGAAAACTGGTGTTTTGACATTTTTTGACAAAAAATTTAAATTTTTGATTTATGAAATTCTCTCATTAAATACAAATCGTGCAATGGAAATATATTTATAATTTTCGACAAATTTGCACTCATGCGTTTTTAACTGAAAAAGAGCACGAGTGCACGTAGTGCACTAAAAATGCATTCGGGCAAATTTCCCAAAAATTATCAATAATTTCCATTGCACTAGTTATATTACTATTGATTATTCTGTTAGTACCTTCCAATAAGAACATTTTTTCAAATGGTGTTCGGGAGTTTCTCGCACCGCTACGAAAATAATCCTAAAAAAGCATATAATTCCGCCCTACGAAATCAAATTGGTTCAAGAGTTAAAGGAAGATAAGAACTATCGGCGTTTGGAATTTGAAATAAGTTTTTATATTTGTTAGCTGTTGAATGTCCCCTATTTTTATGAATGGCAAAGTGCAATAACTGTCGGTATTGGTGGTCAGCAATCTGGAAGTATGGTTCTTCAAGTACTATTACTAAACGGCCGCCTTCCATTTGCCAATAGATAGATTCGTATATAGTTCTATAATGAAATAAGGCTCTTCCTCTCAAATATGAAGCTCATGTTTATCCCTGCCACTCAGGATTCTGTGTCCAAATTCCCCCTGAAACTACCCGCTCATTCCGGAGTCAAACAGACAAATATTGAGATTTCACTAACAGTTCGGCATCCTAGAATTCTCAATATTTGGGATAGTAGAAACAACCGGCATACTAAAAAACTCAATGTGTGTTTTATGAATTTAAGAGATCGGATGGTGAAACCTTTTTCACCTGATAATTTGAAGGCGGCTCGCGCCTATATATTTATTTAACAGAAACAAATCTATCCATCCGAAAAATAAAATTGACTAACCCTAGCGTTTGTCTGATAAATAAAAAGTTTAGAAAATCAATGAATACCCCAAAAATCAGTGCGGAATTAGAAAAAAATAATAAGATCTACCACTTTCTCCTGTCAAAGTTAAACCACGAAGAGATATGTACTGGGTTTGGGACACTTCCTCAAACTATTGTGCTGACGTTTCGAACCTAAATTTATTTTTCTTCATGGGCTACAAACAAAAATTGGTCTCAAGATTCATAGCGAAGCAACTAAATATCGGAGAATCCATTGTTTCAATCTCAAGCTCAAAAAAAAATAAGATTGACAATAATTTAAATTTGAATGAGGTATGAATACCTAATGATTGAAATGGGAAAATGAAACTAGTACAGAATAAAAAACATAAGAACATAAAACAATATGAAATATCAATCAATATTAGATAAACAAAAACTATAACTGAAAAAAAAAAGAATAAAGTACAATGGGCCTAATATGTCCGCTGTGGCATAACATATCACACTCCCAAACTTACAGAAAGTACATAATCAATTCTACTAGCAACGCTTTTAAATTTTTTTCTACAACAAATAAACTCATTCTCCAACAAGGAACTATGCTTATAGTTACAGATTTACATAATAAAGAGATCAAGGATCGAGATGATTAAGAAGATATCCCACAGCTTCACATTTATGCTATATCTCCGATCATCGACTACCAAAGCAAGAAAGAAAGACAGCGATAACTACAGATTCAATATTCTCAAGAAATACAAGCTCGATAGTTAAGTTTTTGCTTTTTTATTTAGTTGATTGACAAAATTTAAATCAGATTAGTCAAGAAATCTACCTATTTCTATAATTCAGTCACTAGCAGGGCTTTTTATAATGTAGGTATAGCTTTGTTTTTGCTTTAATTTATTGCATCAAATATCTAGAGCGTCCTTAGAAATCCCAAATAGAAAAACACAAATTATTCCAAGCACCAGAAAGATTTTTGATTGTACGAGGTCATTTCCATCTTATCTATAAGTTGTCCCTTAGGACATCTATAAGGGTATTCGATCGGATAAATGCGGTAGCAATTCCATCAGATTTATATCCGACCTATTGTTGTCGATTGTTGGCGTGGGCACGACATTTGGGAGGGACTATGAAATTTAAATTTTATCCGATCCGAAGTAGAGAGGGTGATTTTTCTATTTTAACTACCTATAGTTAAACAAACAGAATAAAAATTTAAATAATGTATTACAATAAAATAGAGAGTTTTTTGATATACCTAATGAAGAATCGCCCACGTCTCTCTATGGTTAAACAGCTCCATTAGGAAAGATTTACATACCGTTAGTTATTGTCATGAAAATTTTTCATTATTTCTCGTTTTAATGGTACCTATTAAAATTTAGTATGTATCCTTTTATTTGAGTCAAATATTTAATAAATGCATTCGCTTTACATGACGTATAGTTACATTATTTCTTCTACTTTGATCAAGTTCTATTTCTAGTGAAGTAGGATGAGAGAAAAATTACAGGATATTCTTGAAAAACAACGTTCCAACAATACGTGAAATCCCAGGTCGGCGTGGGAAATTTTGTCATTTCAGCCAGGCTAACTTGACAGCGTCAACGCGCCTGAAAAATTCGTTGATTTTTTTGATTTAGACGCGAAAGCCAAATAGCAGATTTTGCCGATTATCAGTGCTTTAAACTCGCATGTCTTGGCTTGATGTATTTACCTAACAAAACGAAACAAGGCTTCGTCAGAAAGCAATGTTAAATCGATAAGGTCGTTGTTATTGATCAGACAGATCATAAGCAAATTCAGTTTGCAGAATACCTGAGATGAAATGATCTGCCTGCAGAGGCTCTTGATATTAATGGATATTCCATGGAAGCATTGCCATTGAAAAGGTTTTTTATAATTATTCGATAAGTGCCGTGAGAAAATCCTGTTTCTTGAGAAGGATTTTTCAATGATTATTGATTTGTAGTCTGTTCTTCTATACATGCATACATTTGGTTTGAATAGTATGGCAGGTCTATTCTCTACGAACAGCAAATTACATGGGAACCAGCGACCGCGTCGCAGTTGCTTTTTCAGGATAGAAAACTCGCGTTGGACAGCGCATTGACAGCGACAATTTCGCAATTTTCTGCGGTCGCAAGTTACAGAATAAGCTGGCAGGTTTTATCCCTAAATTCCACTAAACTCTATTCAAAATACGCCTCTATCGCAAAAATTCTATGCCCTGTGCTAAAAACAAAAATTGAAAAACTCGACATGTAGGCATCCTGATTCTAATTCAATATACAGGGTGTCCCACGGTGGATGGCGTATTAGACGTTTATGGAGAACTAAAAAGCGGATCATTTTGAAAATTTGGCAACCGGTATAAACGACCATAATCTACACTTTAAAAATATTTTTGTTTATGCGGTGTTGCCGCTTCTACCCTAAACCAGTGGCAACAGCGCTATTTTAAATGGAACACCCTGTATCTGATTACATATTTGGATTTTACGTAAAATTCTGAGCAGATTTCATGTGATATACCCTATAACTAAGTTCAACTGTTTTGGAATTATTGACAGTTGAAAATCGACTTTTTGCAACTTTGACAGGCTGTAAAACCTGAACGGTTAATTTTAGAGAAAAACCGATTTTACATTCCTATCTTAGATTTTTATAAACTATCATTTGATACCAACTTCAAATTTAATCCATGATTAAAAATTCCAATTAAATTTAATCTCCGGGTAAATTCAAAGTTGGTGTCAAATGATAGTTCATGAAAATGTAAGATAGGAATGTGAAATTGGTTTTTCTCCTAAATTAACCGTTCAGGTTTTACAGTCTGTCAAAGTTGCAAAAAGTCAATTTTCAACTGTCAATAATTCCAAAACAGTTGAACTTAGGTATAGGGTATATGACATGAAATCTACTCAGAATTTTACGTAGAATCAAAATATGTAATCACATACAAAGTATTCCATTTAAAATAGCGTTGTTGCCACTGGTTTAGAGTAGAAGCGGCAACACCGCATAAACAAAAATATTTTTAAAGTGTAGATCATGGCTGTTTACCCCGGTTGCCAAATTTTCAAAATGATCCGCTTTTTAGTTCTCCATAAACGTCTAATACGCCATCCACCGTGGGACACCCGTACATATCTCGTCGAAAATGCTAGGTACCTAATAAATCTTTATATGACGAATAAATGTCGCGCTATACCTAACGTGACCATAGGTCCCGTTTTCAACGGGACCGTCCCTTATTTCGGCTTTCCGTCCCGGTGTCCCCGAGAAACACTGCGGGACGCGAAATTGTCCCATTTTCCCAAACCCCACGGAATAAAAAATAAAAATAGCGTAAAAAAATAAAATATCATCATATTAGAGAGTTCTCGTGCTGTCCAAATTTCGATTACCGTAACGCTATTTGACAAGTATGACAGTTCTTACGGTATTAGCGTTA